ATTGATGGCTATTGATGTTTAGAATATAGAGACTATATGAGAAGGGTCTAATGAATTGTCTTTTGAGATTCGCAGCCAGAACTAACTATTTTACATATAGCAATAGTGAGCAATAGCACGGCACGCACTCTCGTGTGTTTGTTTGTCTCTTAGAGGCATAACGCAGCCAGAGTAATAGGCCGCCGCCCATCGACACTATAGATTGGCGCTCCGCATTTAAATTATAACACTCGCCTTTACTATGGCGGATTCTGGTTTTCAAATGAGTTGCAATTTTCTGGGACCACGCATGCACATAGAACAGATAGTGTATATGCCGCCTCAAGGTAGTACCACGTGCAATAACCAAACGCAATGAAGCTGACCTGCAATGATTCATTTTCTTTGGGTTATACTTGGTAACTTCTATCAAGATGCAGAACTAAAGTGGTGAGAGCATTTGAGTTTGAATCCTTTGACATCGGATTTTCAAATGAATGAGGCCAATATGAGGCATTCGGCATCCAATTTTAATGTACATGTAATGCGTGTTGGAAACTTGACAGCTGCTACTCCCTACTCCACCTTCTACCTTCTCTGACTCTTACATTATCCTCCATACCTTCTTCCAACCTCCTTTTGAAACTATTGTCCAAGGATAGATGCATTGATTTGACTTCACTATAACTCTCATAGAGCCATCCCATTGCGACTCACTGCCTTGACAACCATCTTCACACTTCTCATATTTCCTGACTCTGAAACTACTCTGCAAAGAATCTTCGACGCATAGTACTAGTCATCTATTCTGTCCCCAAAACTCCTCTGTGGGCGCTGCATTCACATCGGACCAATGACCGATCTGGCTTTTCTAGTTGCCTGCTGTTTAAACTCCCCTTTTTGGTATTCTGCTTTTCTTCATTTTAGAGCCTTTAATTATCGCACCATAATCCATCAGCCTTCAACACCGCCATTTCAGCAACCACCTTGCATTCGTATCTCACAAAACCAAACCTCGACCCCGTCGCTTTCCGTCTTTTTGACGGTATGAGAAGAGAACAAAAGTTAAAAGTGTAGTTCGGGCGAGGAAGGTAGATTTTCTTTTGCTGCAGGAGACAAAGAGAAGCTTAGTAGATGTTAATTTTGTTAAGTCACTTTGGCCGTGGGACCAGCTGGAGTTCATGGAGGTGGGTGCAGAAGGGAGTGCTGGTGGTTTGCTATGCTTGTGGAATCCACAGAATTTCGAGCTTAAGGAATGTTGCTGCTCCAGGAACTTCATTCTTTTATCAGGTTTGGCCCATCATTCTTTCAATTGTTCTCTTATTAATGTTTATGCACCTAATGATGTGCAAAAAAGAAGTATACTTTGGAAGCTCCTATCAACACTGAAATCATCTTTCCCAAGCCCTTGGTGCATAGGAGGTGATTTTAATGAAATCAGATTTATGAGCGAAAGAAGGGGTTGTTCTCGTAGGGGAAGAGGGATGAAGGATTTTAATGAATTGATTGATAAATTGGAGTTGGTAGATATGCCAATGCTGGGGAGGCAATTTACTTGGTGTAATGCGATGGATGGTGATAGGTGGAGTAGAATTGATAGATTTTTAATTGATCCTAGGTGGCTGGAAGAGTTCAAGCTCAAACAGTGGGGACTACCTAGGAGTATCTCTGATCACTGCCCAATTCTCCTTATGGAGGATGAGAGGGATTGGGGTCCAAAACCATTCCGGTTTATTAATGCATGGTGTCTGCACCCAAAATTTAAAACAGAAGTGAAAAACTGTTGGGAAGCATTCCAGGTTAGTGGTTGGGCAAGCTTCAGGCTTTTGAAAAAGTTAGGAAATCTGAAATCCCATCTGAAGAGGTGGAACTGTGAAGTCTTTGGTAACATTGAGGAGAAGTTGAAAAAAGCAGAGGACGAATTGCACGAATGGGATTTAATAGCTGAAGGTAGGAATCTACAGGATGCTGAGATTAAACGAAGGGCTCCAGAAATCTAGAAGAGTATGGGCTGAAAATGGGGATAAAAATACCAGATTTTTTCACTTAATGGCAACCAAAAGGCAGAGGTTAAACTCAGTTACCGTGAATGGTGTGACTTATGATGAGCCTGGGATGATTAAACAGGCAGTGGAAAGTCATTTCAACTTCCTTTTCTCTGAAGATTGGAAGAATAGACCAAAGCTGTCAGGTTTTTTTGACTCAATTAGTCCATTTGACTCATCTGAGGTGTTAGAGGCAGAATTTCTGGAGGATGAAATTTGGGAAGCACTTAAAGACTGCGAGGGAAATAAAGCCCCGGGGCTGGATGGTTTTAACTTGAAATGTATTCAAAAGTGCTGGGCCATCATGAAAGGAGAGTTTGTGCAGTTGATGAATGAGTTCCATTCTAATGGAAAGTGAGTCCAAGGAATAAATAGTTCATTTATTACCTTAATTCCCAAGAAAGAAAATCCTGTGGGATTGGGGGATTACAGGCCAATCAGCTTGATTACCTCCGTATACAAAATCATAGCTAAAGTCTTATCAAGAAGGCTGAGGAAAGTGCTGCCTAAGATCATTAGTGAAGTTCAAACTGCATTTTTGAGTGGAAGGCACATTATAGATGGGGTCTTAATTGCCAATGAAGTGGTGGACTGGTGGAAAAGGTCAAAGAAAAAAGGTCTCATCCTAAAGCTGGATTTTGAAAAGGCGTATGATTCCGTAAATTGGGAGTTCTTGTACTCAATGATGAAAAACTTCGGTTTTGGAGAGAAATGGGTGGGGTGGATGAAGACCTGCATATCCACATCTCGAATTTCAGTACTTGTAAATGGCTCACCAACTTCTGAGTTTTCTCCCATGAAAGGGCTTAGGCAAGGAGATCCGCTCTCCCCTCTTCTCTTTAATATTGTAGCGGAGGGTCTGAACATTCTATTGGAAAGAGCTAAGGAAGTGGGACTGATTAGAGGAGTATCCGTAGGATCATCTGAATTGATAATTACACACTTGCAGTTTGCCGATGATACCATTATTTTTTGTGAAGCGGAGTGGGAGGAAGTTGTAGCCGTGAAAAGAATTTTAAGGTGCTTTGAGTTGATGTCTGGTCTCAAAATAAATTTCCACAAAAGCAAGGTTTGTGGTGTAGGTGTGCAGGAGGACATTGTTCAGGTCTTTGCAAACAAACTAAACTGTCTCAGTCAAAAGTTGCCAATGAGTTACCTGGGGTTACCATTAGGTGCAAACCCAAGGAGAAAGGCTTCTTAGAAACCTGTACTAGACAAGTTTAAGAGCAAGCTCGCTTCTTGGAAAAGAAGGTATTTATCCTTTGCGGGCAGAGTAACACTAATCAAGTCTGTCCTGTCAAGTTTGCCAGTTTATTTTTTTATCAATTTTTAAGCTCCCAGTGGGCATTGCAAATGCCCTACACAGAATTCAAGCCAATTTTCTTTGGGGAGGATCTGAAATCAGGAAGAAAGTGCACCTAATTAACTGGAAGGAGGTATGCCTAAGTAAAACTAAAGGTGGCTTAGGTGTGAGAAATCTTAGCCAGGTTAATGAATGCCTACTAGTTAAATGGTGGTGGAGGTATGGCAAGGAGGAGTCAGCGTTGTGGAAACAAGTGATTTGTAGTAAGTATGGAGGTTTAGGTGGTGGTTGGTGCCCATTTTTTTCTAGCTCAATGCGGCTATCACATACGTGGAAAGATATATTGTCAGTGGCTGTAGTTAACACTGCCCTGCGTGATTTCTTCTTGCAAAACTACAGGTTAGTTGTTGGAAATGGTAGAAGGTTGCATTTTTGGACTGATAGGTGGTGCCACAACCAAAATCTGAGGTGTCTTTTCCCAGATTATTCACCCTATCAGTTGATAAAGATGGTAAGTTGTTTGATTTTTTTCACCGAAGAGCGGCAGACCCCGACTGGAATCTGGTTTTCAGAAGACCACTTTTAGCATGGGAAGAGGAGGAAGTGCAAAAACTTAATGATTTTCTGCAGAGTGCGCCTAGGCTCAATGAAGGGGTGGTAGATTCTTGTGCTTGGCTAGGCCATCCGTCTGAAGAGTTCACTGTGGCATCAATTTGGAAGTGGATGGAAGCAAGTCAAGGGGTGGACTGCACAGTCACTAGGTGCATTTGGAATAATATAGCCCCCCCAAAGTTCAATTCTTGAGTTGGTTAGCGTGGAAAGGAAGGATAAAATGTTCTGAATTTTTGCAAAGAATAGGAGTGTTGAACCCAAACGCCTCGGCTGCCTGTGTGTTTTGCAGATCTGGGGTGGAGTCTGTAAATCATGTTTTTCTGCACTGTCCTATCATTTGGAAATTGTGGGCCATGTTAGTGAACTGGTGGAATTATAAGTGGGTTATCCCTGGATCAGTGGAGGGATTACTCCTGTCGTGGTCAGGCATAAAAGTGAAGAAGAAGTTGCAAGCAGTTTGGAAGATTATACCTCTAACAGTCATGTGGTCTGTGTGGAAAACCAGAAATGATTGTTTATTTAATAAGGTACAACCGGATTGGATTGCATTGGTAGATCTGATAAAGGCTAGAGTCGCGTTGTGGGCTTCTTCATCATTAAAGGGGTTTAACTATTCGGTGCAAGATGTTATCTTTAACCTGAGTCAAGTGTGTCACTGTGTGTAATTAAGTGCCGAATTGCTTCTGGTTTTGTGGATGGCTAGTCGGTTTGCTCTGAAGTCTGTCTTGAGTTTGTCATAAATTGGTTCAGTTGGCTATGGAGTGTACCTTCAAGGCTTAATGTCGTGCGATTCAATTGTCAAAGTTGCTTGTTCTCAGTTGTCAGCTAGAGGAGTGTCCATCTGCATCTTTGGTATGCACTCAGAATTTGCATTACAGAGAGGGCGGGCCTTTGGTATCAAGATGCTCTTATTTTTTATCTACAGCTGTGTTGGCTTCTAAGTTTGGTGTGTGGTTTGGTTGAAGGGCTGCAGCTGCAACCAGTAGTGCCTCAATGCAACAGTCTTACGGGGTCCTGTTCAGTCTTGGGGTCTGCACTGCCTAGTGCGCGGTTGCTGTTCTTTTTGCTGCTCAGGTCTGCTTTGCTGGTTTGCCGGATGCTGGAAAGGCTCTTGCTGGTTTGCTTGATTGCTTGCGGTTGGTTTTGCCCTTGAATAGGCTCTATCTGGTGTGTTGCTGGTCTACACTAGAACTTATCTGTTGCTAGTTTGCTTGAAGCACTAGGCTATATCTGTGGTGCTGCAGTGCATTTCCGTGGGTTCTGGGTCTGCTAGATGATTGTTGTGCAAAGGTTGAGTCTGGGATGGTATGCTTGGCATAGTGTTTTGGAAATGCCTCGATTGTAGTCTTCTGCAATACTCTGTAGTGCTTCATGGTTTTGTAGTTTTGCCCCTTGCTTTGTTGTTTGTTTTCTTTTTTCTCTCTTGTTGGTCTCTCACCAACTGGAGGTTTGAGCTTCATTTAGCTCTTAGCTCCTCTTTATTGATGTTTCCCATTGTACCTTGTACGTGCTTCATCAATAAAGTTTTCTTTGCCGATCAAAAAAAAAAAAAAAATCTTGAAAACTTGGTGAACGATGTCCATTGAACAATAGTGTCTTGTGATAGCAATTGTAAAAGCCACTATCCAAGTTAAACTTGTATTGAAACCCATAGCAGTTGCAGCTTTGCAAGCATTCATTCGCGCACCTCTTGTAGGTATAATTTTCACAGATCTTATTATCATCATAGCCATAGAATTCAACATGAGGAAGATGGAGGAAACCAATCTCACTAT